AGACCCATACACCATTCGATCCAGCAGTTAGAGAAACCCCATGAATATCCGTCGCGAACTCATAGTCCTCTCCCGAAATTCAGCGACCGCAGTATTCAAAAGACAAACACCTTCTAAGGATTAACATTACCTCTTTATTCTTAAGATCTTCAAACTGCTGTCGTAGAGTACGGAGTTTTTCCTCCCTTTCCTGAATGTCCTGTCTATTCCCCTCAATCCTCTTCTCCCAATGAGCAAGTTCGTTCTCTCGAGCAGCCACTAACATGAAGCCTTTCCGTTAACCTCATCCACCCGACACCTTATCACATGCGCGGGCCTTCTCCCGTACGCCGGCTCGTTCAATCTCGAGATCCCGGAGGAGTGTCTCTCTTGACGAGACCGCCCTCCTATCAAGCTCGGACTCTTTCAGCCGCAATCTCTCCAACTAAAACACATGCTACTGATCACTGTCCCCTCATGGAGCTTTAAGTACTGTTCTTTGTTCAACAAGTTTGAACCTCGCTTCCCGTTCCTTAGCCTCTCGCTCAAGCTCCTCTCGAGCCGTCCGCTGTTCAGCTCGCAACTGCGCGGCAGCCTCCAGTCTCGCGTTGGGGAGCTCGATGGACCTGCATACGTCATTCGGCAAGCTCACTACTACTTTCGACCTTATCCGTTGCACCTGAGCTTCTACTTCCTCTCTCACCCTGTTGTCACACTCACGTTTATATCTGTCACAAAATGCCCAAGACGGACACGGCCAAGAGGTACGGTATTACCGGAGCATCCGTTCTTCTATTCGTCTATGACGATCCTCATCGTTGCCTGCAGAAGCAGCCGCCGCGACATCCTCGAGTGCACGCAGCTTCTCTTCTAGAGTAAGGAAGCCCTCCGGAGGGTCGGTCTGGCTAGAGGCGCATATCCTAAGCTCCAACGAGTGAGGTGGTTCTGGTGCTTTTGTCCTCCACCTCGCTGATTCGGACGCCCTTTTAGTATTGCTAACTCCATTGACAATATTCAATAGCAAAGGATTCTCTTTATCAAGGACGAGTTGAGAGTCCAGTACCCCGAGGGCTTGCATAATGTCCTCCTCCGCGAGCATATCCGACGGGGAAAGGCCGTAGTCGGGCAGGAGAACCTGGCGACCACCACCGCTTTAATCGCATCCTCGAGTACATCATCCCACCGAGAGGCTGAGGTCTTTCTTGGTCCACCTCAAATAGTCTCCAATAAGTGAGACCAGAGCCTTCGTCCTTAAGCTCAGCTTTATCGTCTTATGGCCTTCAAGTCTCCTCTCCCGCCTTCGAAACTCTTGGACAAGCCTCGTCCGCAAGAGGCTCTTCAATTCCCCTGCCAGCCCTCGAGACTTGACGAATTCCTTGAACTCCGAGGATACCGCCTTCCTTACGACCTCATCAGTGGAAGCCATACGAGTGCAACTCTGACCGCTGACACGCTCCATCACCTTATTCAAATTGACGAACACTCTTACTTCAACACGACACGAGAAAATGATTAAGA